ACAATAAATTGGGACCCCTACTTTATACCATATACAAAAATTGACTTAAAATGGCCCAACGACCTAAATAGAAGTACTAAAGTCATAAGACTCTTAGAAGAAAACAGGTGTAGATTTTCATAACCTTGGATTTAGCAATAGACTCTTAAATATGACCCCAAAGCATGAGCAGTGAGAAAAAAAAGATGGGTAAGTTGGACTTTATCACAATTAAAAACTTTTGGGTATCAAAGGACATTATTGGGGGGCCAGGGTGACTCAGTTGATTGAGCATCTGACTCTTAATTTCAGATCAGGCCATGATCCCAGGGTCATGGGATCAGCATGGGGCTTGCTTAAGATGCTCTATCTTCCTGTCTCCCCCACTCATGCACCCTCTCTCTCTAAAGTAAAAACAAACAAACAAAGGACATTATCAAGAAAGTAAAAAGACATCCTACAGAACAGGAGGAAATTCTTTGCAAATTGTATTTCTGGTAAGAGTCTAGTATCCAGAATATATAAAGAACTACAACTCAGGGTGGCTGGGTGGCTCAGTCAGTTAAGCATCTGAGTCTTCATTTTGGTTCAGGTCATGATCTCATGATTTCTGACATTGAGCCCCACGTTGGGCTCGGTGCTGATGGCATGGAGCCTACTTGGGATTCTCAGTCTCTCCTCTCTGGCTGGCTGGCTGGCTGGCTGGCTCTCGGTCTCTCTCTCTCTGAATAAACATTTTAAAAATAATAAAGTCCTAAAATGGTATTTAAAAAATTCTTACAACTCAATAAAATTGACAGCCCAATTTTAAAATGGTCAAAGAACTTGAATAAACACTTCTCAAAAGAAAACATGCAAATGGCCAACAGGCACATGAAAAGATGCTCAAATTTATTCAGTCACTTAAGAAATGCAAATCAAAACCACAGCAAGATTACCACTTCATACCCACTAGGGTTGTTTTAATAATTAAATATGTAACAAGTGTTTTCCGGGGTGCAGAGAAATTGGAACTATAATACTTTGCCAGTAGGAGCGTAAAGTGGTGCAGCCACTACGGAATAAAATTTGGCAGTTGCTCAAAAGTTTAAAGTATTATCATATGACCCAGAAATGCTAGATACATACCCAAAGAATTGAAGACAGGTACTCAAACACATGTACATCATATTCATTCAGGCACTATTCACAATAGTCCGAAGAAGCAAACAGTCCTCATGTCCATCAATGGATGAATGGATAAGCAAAATGTAGTATATCCATACAATGGAATATTATTCAGCCAAAAAAACCAAAAAACAAAAACAAAAAAACAAATGAAGCACTGCTACATGCTACTGTGTGGATGAACTTCCAGAAAATATTAGACTAACTGAAAGAATCCAGACATAAAAAGTTACATGTGATAGGATTCCATTCATATGATATATCAGGAATTGATAAATGCATAGAGATAAAATGCAGATTTATGGTTGCTAGGAGTTGGGAGGGGACATAAGATAAACTGTAATGAGTAAGAGGCTTTACTTTGGAGTGATGGAAGTGGTTGGTGATGGAGGTGGTGATTGCACAACATTGTAAGTGTACTAAGTGCCACTGAAATGTTCATTTAAAACAATTTAATTTTTGTAAATTTCACCTCAATAAATGAAGTAAAGTGAAATGAAAAGCTGCCAGGAGATGGAAGATTAGTGGAGCCCTAACCTGAGTATGTGATGCCACTTGGAATCTATATGGTAGGTGTGGGTGAGGTGCTAGGTGAGGTCACTGCTGTGCCACCACCAGCAGCCAGTGCACCACAGGCATGTGTGGTAGTCACATGAGCATGGCTTTGACTTGGGTACTTACCTAAGCTGGTTTACACAAACCTGAAAGCCACCTATCATAAAGATCTTTAAAGAGTGTTTTCTTTCAGGAAATACTAACAAGTTTCTTGTGTTCTAGAAGTGCTCAGAATCCTCACCCTTTTCTCTAGTGGAGATCAGTCATGGGAGATCAGTGCAAACAGCTGCATTTGGCTTCAAATCTCTTTCTTTACCCTTAAACCCAACTTTTATTCTATTTCTGTTTCTCTCAGAAAGAGACAGAGAGAGAGATTTTCTTAAGGGAAACCACATTTTTTATTTTATATTTCCTTTCAAAAGAGGAACTTCTATCATCGTTTTCAACAGTTCTTAAGTTGCAGAGAAAAATTAAGTTAGATTTACTATCCGAAGTAACATCTCACCATCCTCACCCATAGGACCCAGATTTATCTCTTGTCCCAAGAAAAGACTTCCAGGTCAACAATGCCTTGGGCCTGAAAACCAGTCCTCATGGCCACCATCTCCTGAGCCACATCAGTGATCTTAGTGTCAACAAACTATGACCCCACAGGCCAGGGCCAGCTAGCCAGTGGTGCAGTTTTGTTTTGTTTTTATTTATTTTTTTAAATATATTTTTTTAATGTTTTATTTATTTCTAGGAGAGAGAGAGAGAGACAGCGTGAGCAGGGGAGGGTCAGAGAGAGAGGGAGTCACAGACTGAAACAGGCTCCAGGCTCTGAGCCGGCAGTCAGCACAGAGCCCGACGCGGGGCCCGAACCCACGAACCGCGAGATCATGACCTAAGCGAAAGTCGGACGCTTAACCGACTAAGCCACCCAGGCGCCGCTTGTTTTGTTTTTAATGGCCTGCAAGCAAATAATGGTTTTGAGGTTCTTTTCAGGGTTGTAACACAGCAGACCATACGACCAGGACCATACAGCCACAAAGCCTAAAATGGGTACCCTCCAACCATTTATGAAAAAGGTTCATTGACTCCTGTATGTCGTCCCCTTCTGGTCCCTCCACATACAGCCAGAGGAGGGTGGGAGGCTCCCTAGGTCAGTCACTGGGGGGATAGCGAGCCTTAGGCCATTCTGTCCAGACCTTTGTTTCCCATAGCAGCCTCTCTGTCTGTCCCTGCAGTCCTCACTGAGCCCTCCTCCCATTACTCCCAGGGGCCCATCATCATAGGGGCATTTCCTAAACACCCCAGAGCCAGGGCTCTTGACCTGAGGGGCCCTGAGGCTCATGGAAGAACATAGTCAGCCTGTGTGCAGCATGTGATGAAGGGTCTTTCTGAGGGTCAGTAGAAGGGTAAAGGACGGCACCCATGTATTGTGCCAGCCATGTTGCTGAGTTCCATAGGAGAGAGTCTGGGACAGATTCCATGCAAGGGTCAAGGAGTATGTAGGGGCTTCCAGCTGGGAATGCCACCACACAGTGTTTCTGGAGCATGAACTGTCACTACCAGATATGTGGGTATGGTGGGCAGACAAGGTGATTGTGTGGCCAGGCCAAATCTGCATTGAGATCACTCTGGTGGCTCCAGAGGGAACAGAAGCATCCAGATGAGGCAAGGACACAATGCTGTTGTGTTAGATTCTAGAACTTGCAGGTGGGGAAAGGCAGTGTCAGCCTGAACTGAGGGGCAGGTCAGAGGGCAATGAGCACAAGGAAGCAGGGTGGGGGTGTCCTTCACCCACATACTCAGTACAACTGACTGTGGCTAGACAAAAGAGTTGTCCCAGTCCCAGGACATAGAGCCTAGTCAGGGAGCAATCAGGGCTGTACAGGAAACAGCAGAAAGGGGCAATGGTCAAAGATCTGTCCAGTGAGGTGTGTTTGAGCAGAGACCAGGCAGGAGTAAAGGAAGGAGCATGAGGACTATCTGGGGAGAAAGTTCCAAGTGGGGTCAAGCACAAGGGAACAAGAGCAGAGGTGAGGATGAATGCAGGAAGGGTCTGGGAGGATATTGAAGTGCTCTTATGTAACTAGTACATAAGTTACATAACTTATGCTCTTATGTAACTAGTACATAAGTTACATAACTCCTGGGCAGGAGGGGAAGGTGGGAGGGCAGGTAAACTACTACACATCCAGGCAGGAAAAATTGCAACAGAGTGGTCTGGGCATCTTCATTTGAATGAGACAGAGACTTAAGATCTTTGAGTGAGAAATCCAGGGGAGTGAAGGTTTCCTTGTTACTTCAGGTGTGAAGGGAGAAGAGGGAGAGGTGCCAGAACCATTTTTTCCCTTAATGTTTCTTTATTTTGAGAGAGAGCAAGTGACAGAGTGGCAGAGAGAATCTGGGGTTGTGGGGAGAGAGAATCCTGAGCAGGCTCCAAGCTGTCAGCACAAAGACTGATTCAGGGCTCGAACTCATGAACTGTGAGATCATTACCTGGGCTGAAGTCAAGAGTCGGATGCTTAACCAACTGAGCCACCCAGGCAGAGCCTTTCTTTTGTGGCGAGGAACCTTGTGCACATTTCTGCCTTCAGAAAGGTGGACACAGCAGCTTAAAACATTGTACCAGGACACAAAATTGTCCAGCTAACACCACTTAGAATTATAGTTTTTAGGGGGTAAGGGTTGCTTTGGTAGGACAGGGCTCAGTCTCTGAAGACCTCTCTGTTGAACGGGACAGAATCTGATATTTTAGGCAAATCCCCGCTGCATTTCTCAGCCTACTATGCAAACAGAACCACCCTTCTTCTCTGAAGGGAACAAGTCCCTCTGCACCTGCCAGCAGAGAGCTTACCTCTCTGTACCGGTGACTCCTGAAGCAAAGCCTATATGGCATTAGTTGGTGCTAAGGAAACAAATACTGGCCCAAGAAGTATTGTGGGAAAGAAAAAAAAAACGGTAGAATGTTTAACAGTATAGCATAAGGCATGTAATGATGGGAATGATGAGTGCCTGCATTTGAGGGACTGACAAGACTTGCTGATGACCTGCTGTGGGAGAGAGGTAAGGCAGGTGAGGGGCACCTAGGATTTTGGCCTGAACCAGTAGGTGATTTCGTGAGATATGGGTCAGGGGAGTCAGGGTCAGTCTTGTAGGTTGAAGGCCCTGCAGCCTGGTCTCCTCATAGCCATCCCAGCCCCCTCCCTGGCTCCCTTGAGAGATCTAGGACTGCCACCCCTAGTGGGTCCCACATTCCCAGACGTGTCATCTGTATTTTCCTGTTTCCTTCAAAGTGACATTTGTTATTTCAGATTGGGACACCAGGACTAAGGACACGGAGTCTCTTCAGAAGAGAGAAGTTTCCGAGGATTTGGAATCACAGGCAGAAGTATCAGAAAACTATACCAGTGATTTTTCCCAGGTTTCTGAGCTTAGAGAACTCTGTGATGATGTACTGGAGAGAGATTGGGGAGCCCCTGACAGTGAGAGACGGGTGCACTCCCACTACCAGGAGCAGGGCTTCACACCGGTGGAAGTGCTCCTTAGCAGCACCTTAGAGAAGGAGCTGGGCTGTGATGACTTTGTGAGAAGCTTCAGTCTGAACCCAAACCCAGTGGCGTCTCAGGGAATTCCTACAGAAGAGAGGCCACATATGTATGACATGTGTGGCCACAGCTTCCAACACAATGCAGAGTTAACTACCCATGAAGGGCTTCACATAGCTGAAAGCCCACTCATATGTAATGATTGTGGGAAAACCTTCAGAGGAAACCCTGATCTTATTCAGCATCAGATAATCCATACTAGACAAAAGTCCTTCATATGCAATGAATGTGGAAAATCCTTCAGTCAGAGCTCATTTCTTAAAAGTCATCAGAGGTCTCATGTGAGTGAAAAGCCCTATCAATGCAGTGAGTGCAGGAAAACCTTCAGTGTGCAGTCAAACCTCATTAGGCATCAGATTAACCACAGCAGTGAGAAGCCTTATGTATGCAATGAATGTGGAAAAGCTTTCAGCCAGAACTCAAGCCTTAAAAAGCACCAGAAGTCTCACATGAGTGAGAAGCCCTATGAATGCAGTGAATGTGGGAAGGCATTTAGGCGAAGCTCAAACCTCATCCAACATCAAAGAATTCATTCTGGAGAGAAGCCGTATGTGTGCAACGAATGTGGGAAGGCCTTTAGGCGGAGCTCAAATCTCATTAAACACCACAGGATCCATACAGGTGAGAAACCTTTCCAGTGTAATGAGTGTGGGAAAGCATTCAGCCAGAGCTCACACCTAAGAAAGCATCAGAGAGTTCACACTGGAGAGAGACCTTACGAGTGTAATGAGTGTGGCAAACCATTCAGCCGGGTCTCCAACCTCATTAAGCATCACAGGGTTCACACTGGAGAGAAACCCTATAAGTGCAGTGACTGCGGGAAGGCCTTCAGTCAGAGTTCAAGCCTCATTCAGCATCGAAGAATTCACACTGGAGAAAAACCTCATGTGTGTAATGTGTGTGGAAAAGCCTTTAGCTACAGCTCAGTGCTCAGAAAGCATCAAATAATCCACACAGGAGAGAAGCCATATGAATGTAGCATCTGTGGCAAGGCCTTCAGCCACAGCTCAGCCCTCATTCAGCATCAGGGTGTGCACACGGGTGACAAGCCCTATGAGTGTCGGGAATGTGGAAAAACATTTGGTCGGAGCTCAAACCTTATCCTTCACCAGCGTGTTCACACTGGGGAGAAACCCTATGAATGTACCGAATGTGGAAAAACCTTCAGCCAGAGTTCAACTCTCATTCAGCATCAGAGAATCCATAATGGATTGAAACCCCATGAATGTAACCAGTGTGGTAAAGCCTTCAACCGAAGCTCAAACCTTATTCACCACCAGAAAGTTCACACTGGAGAGAAGCCATACACATGTGTCGAATGTGGTAAGGGCTTCAGCCAGAGTTCACACCTTATTCAACATCAGATAATCCACACTGGTGAAAGGCCATATAAGTGCAGTGAGTGTGGGAAAGCCTTCAGTCAACGTTCGGTCCTTATCCAGCACCAGAGGATCCACACCGGTGTGAAACCTTACGACTGCTCTGCTTGTGGGAAAGCCTTCAGCCAGCGGTCCAAGTTGGTCAAACATCAGCTGATCCATGCTAGGGAGTGAAACAGAGCTCCATTCCCGACTCCTCTGGCCACGTCCCAGCCTCACCCACTTCCCAGACTTGAAGCCAGGCTCACTTGCTGCCCTATAACCCTATATCCCACTGTCCACAAAGCCCTGACCCTCCTTCTCCTGTCATCACTCCTGCCTTGTGTGATCTCTTGTTTCTTGTTTGCCTTGTGTGTACATTTTGTTATCAGACTGCCACATTTATTAGGAGGAAAAAGATGATTGAAGCTACATACTCATGAATAGAGTTTATTACTATAATCAAACAGAACCAAAAAAGTAAGCTGACATTTGATTCAAAATAATGACAGTAATTCTTGTATTTGGTAGTCATAAAGAGTGGGTTCTTTGTCTGTGGTTATAATTGATATTCTGTTTACATAAATCAGGTCAAGAGTTTTTCAGTTCAGATTACAGTCAACCTTCCCAGAAGTGGTGTGTAGTCATTACCACCTTTTTTTTTTTTACCTTTCCATACAGTCACTGGATGCAGGAACCCTTCTGCTCCCTTGCCCTTGTGCCTGAGTCTGAGGTCATGCTTTCTTCTTACAGTCCCACTCAGGGCTGGTGCACAATTACACATGCAGGTGATTCCCAACCTCCCAGTTCTGTGCCTTGTGGTCCTGGCTGTTTGCCCCACAGAGGCCTGCCCTCCTCATGTCCCTCCTGTTCTCCCCACAAGTTTCCAAGTTCAGTTTTCTCCCAAGCCCACTCATCACCATTTATAGAGGACCTGTGAGTGCTCCCAGTAGGTGGGAATTGGCCTCTCAGTTTCCCAGAGCTGTGCCCTTTACTGTGAGCAGGGGGAGTTGGCCCAGAAGCAACACATCTGCCATGAGAAAGGCCCCTGGATGCCAGCCAGCAGGTCTCAACTTGGAGTATCCTCGAATGGGTGGATGGAGAAGCCCTTCCTGCACTGTCCAGGAGGAAAGGCATTAATGGACAGATGTAATCAGGCTTGCAGTTAAGGTAGGAAGGTAAGGCCTTGGCTTCTGTGCTTTCAAAGTAGAGGCAAAGTCATCAGTTGCAAATGAGGAGAGAGAGGTTTGAAGAGGGAAGTATGTGAGTTGGTTCAAGGGTGCACAGGTCGTTTCCATGGTCTTGGGCTACAGTGGACTGCCTATCCCTCTCTCAGAGGTCATCAGGGTAGCCCATCACTGCTCACTCCCTCTCCTCCACTTCAGCCCCAATTTCCTAAGGCAATGCGCTAGATGACAAACTGCCACATTTGCAGTCTTGGGGACAGCCTTGATCTGTTATCCTTCAACTCACTTGCTCATTTTTCACCCCATGGAGACCTCCATCTGTTAACCCTCATGCTTTCTCACTGTCAGGCAATCCTTTCTGGCTTCACATTCCCCTTTGTCCAGCCTAGGTTCCATCTCCCTCCCCCTCCCCTGTGAATACTTACGGGATACTTACTACATTTATAGGGACACAGCAAGAAACAACCCTGCCCTTGAGGTCAGTGGATAGAGAAAAATGACCTAATGAGGGTCATGACTACTATGAGGTGAAAGGAAAACAGGAATAAGGTCTGGGTGTTTTGATGGATTCTGTTTTAAATGGGGGCTGTCAGAGCAGGCCTTGCCAAAATGTCCTTTGAGTGACAACTTGAAGCAAATGAGAAAACGATCAGTGAAGATGGGGGGAGGGGGGAGGGTGACAACAAGAATAGCTGGTTTTATTGGGAAGCCAGAGCTGGGGTATTAAGAATGTGCAGATTATGACCTGCTGAGGTAGGAAGCACAACCCACCCATACAGGTTGGCAGGTAACCATCATCCAAGCTCCCACTTTGGGAAAGTAAAACCCCAGAGTCTTTTTTTTTTTTTTTTAATGTTTTTACTTCTCAAGAGAGAGAGACAGTGTGAGCAGAGGAAGGTCAGAGAGAGAGGGAGACACAGAATCCGAAACAGGCTCCAGGCTCTGAGCTAGCTGTCAGCACAGAGTCCAACGTGGGGCTCGAACCCATGAACCATGAGATCATGACCCGAGCCGAAGTTGGATGCTCAACCGACTGAGCCACCCAGGTGCCCCTCCCAGAGTCTTTTTTGATTGAAGGCACAGTTTCAGTACACTTACACAAAGGAAGTAAAGTCACAAGATCTATTACATACAGATCCCAGAAGCAAGGGGGCACAATGATGGGGGGCAGTCCATCATCCCAGGTCATGAGCAAGCAAGAAATAAGAGAACAGGGTAGCAGACACCTATTACTTAGGAAGTTGTTAGGGTGGTGGTCACTAAATTCAAGTTCTTATCTAAATGTCCAGACTCTGGGTGTGCATAGGGTTATCATACAGTAAAATGCCTAGGCAGTAACTAGGAAAAACAGCTTTTGTTTTCCCCATCACACCAGTACAAAGGCCCTGAGCAGAAGCATGCCTAGAGTGTTTGAGAATCATTGGAGGTCAGTATGGCTGAGAGTTGAGTGACCAGGGGGAGAAGCAGATGGGGTGGGTCATAATTGGCCATATCACAAAAGGCCTTGTGGCCATGACAAAGACTTTGACTTTTACTCTGGGTGAAACAGATGTTGGAGGGTTGGGATGACTTACATTTTAACAAGGCCATTGCTGTGTGGAGAAGAGGCTTTAGGGGCAAGCATGTCCTCCTCAACTCCTCAACTTCCTTCTGGCCTCCACACTGTTGGGAGACTCCCAGGGCTGAGGCATGGCTGTGGGAGGCCAGAGTCTAGAGACAGGAAGGAGGAATAAGTGTCAAGCTCTACTGGACCCTTGTCCCTACCCAGTGTCTGGGCAGAATTGACCCCATTTAGGGGCCTGCCATCTGCAGCCTGAGAGTTTTAATTTCGGAATGTCACGTTTCCAAAGTCTAGAAAACAAATGGTCAACCACAGTTTCTTTCTTTTGACTTTGATGGTGTCCTTGGAAATGTTTCTTGGGAAGCAAGGGCTGAGAAAAAAGCCTGGGTGCCATCCCCTTGATGCCAGATTTCAAGCCATTCAAGTCCCGCTCAACAGGAGATGTGAGGTTATGTGCTGCAGCCTCACCCCCCAGCCACAGCAAACACCCAGGCCAGTGCCCTTCCATCACTCCTTAAGCCACTTTGGACCTGCCCAAGGAACCCTGCCCTGCTGACTTCAGTTAACACAAGTAATAAACCATCTCATTCCCTCTTGGTATGTGTGGCATTGTCAGTCTTGACATCTGAACCAAATTTTGGGTGGGAGTCCATCCACCCTGCAGGTGATGGTAAACATTGGAGTTGTCACTGTGAGCAGGATATCTAGACAATGGCATCCAAAGCCTTTCAGCCACCGTTTGCCTTCACTTCTGAAGGAACATGATATACCCTCACTAGGATTCCCATAGGGTACCTCAGCAGCCTCACTGTCACATAGTCTTGACTGCATCCACCTTCCTCTGGGAGCACAGATGTGACATTACATTGATGACATCTTCCTCCAAGGAGATTCATTTGACATTCATTTGTGTGTCATTTATTCAGGACATACAAATACAAAGGAGCTCACCAAAGGGAATGGGTTATTGCCTCTAACTGAAGTGCAAGGCCCTGCCACTTCTGTTAAGTTGCCAAAAATGTTTTGTAAACCAAGGGCTGCTCCATCCTTGAAGCTTCAGAAATAGCCAGTGTCCCCGTCAGCACGCACAACTCTTTTAGAACTTTTGGGGCTTCTGGAGACAACATGTTCCTCATTTACAAATTTTACTTAACCCCATTTATGCTGCAACTTGCAAATCAGCCCACCTTAGTTGGGGCTCCCTTCAATAAAATCTAGAATCTGTCCAGGTTGCGATACCACATTCCCATTAGTGCCTCTCCCACCAAGACTTCTCCATCACAGGGGCTTCAGCAACCTCCTTTCATATCTTGCAGTCTCTGGATCACCCATCGTTGCCATAGGTTGTCCAAGGGCTTCTGATCCAAGAAACTATCTTCCTTGCCCTATACAATATGCTACCAGAGCTGCAATTGCTGGCCACATACTGGACCCTCCTAGAAATGGAGGCTGTCACAGACCCTGAGCCTGTGACTCTGTCTCTGTACCCAGCTGCCCATTTTGCTCTGGGTTGTGGAAATAGTACACCATGAGCTCAACACAACTGCTGAAGCCACCTTGATACAGTATAAAAGCCAAACCTGGGCCCTCTGGCATATTCCACTTGCAGAAGGGGCCGCCTCCCCTGTCCTCTGTCCCTTGCCAGGGACAAGATGTCAGGGTGTTGGAAGGCAGCCCTCCCCAGACCCTTTGGCCACCTGGAAAGCCCCTTGTGATGACCTAAGTGAACAGCAAAGGGAATCTACAGACCATACAAGCAGCACTGCCAACCATCATAGTGATGGAGCTCAGTGGGGAGTTGCTGTTCCTCATTTCTTAATCAGGACATCCCTAATAAAGAACCAGATCCAAACATCAGCACAAGTGGCTGAATTTCTGGCAATTATCTTAGCACCAGATGGCCTGGCTAATGAATAACCCCATCTCTGGATTAAAAAAAAACTTTTTTTAACATTTATTTGTTTCTGAGAGACAGAGGGTGAGCGTGGAGGGGTGAGAGAGAGGGAGACACAGAATATGAAGCAGGCTCCAGGCTCTGCACTGTCAGCACAGAGCCTGACGTGGGTCTTGAACCCACAAACTGTGAAATCATGACCTGAGCCGAAATCGGACACTCAACCAGACAGAGGACGGGGGAGACTGTCCCTTCTGCAAGTGGAATATGCCAGAGGGCCCAGGTTTGGCTTTTATACTGTACCAAGGTGGCCTCAGCAGTTGTGCTGAGCTCATGGCGTACTATTTCCACAACCCAGAGCATAAAGGACAGCTGGGTACAGAAAAGTTGGACACTCAACCCAGTCGCCCCACCCCATCGCCACATTTTTACAAGCTTTTGTGCCATTGCCTTAAAACTTGCCCCCTTTAAGGTAAAGAACTCTCAGAATCTCTTCCCCCAGAGACAGATGCCCAAAAATATCAATCAAGGTCAAGATGTCTCTCTACTTATGCTGAGGCCACAGTACACGGTCTCACCAGGACACCTTCATCCCCTCTGGAGTAGCTGAGGCACTCATGTCACTTCTCAATACCCAGTGCTGGGCTCTTGAAAAAGCCATTTAGTGGGATTTTCACCTCCCTTGCCAGCCTCAGGCTGCAGGTTGCAGAGTGACATATAGCTTTTTTAAATAGGCACTAATTCATTTAAATGAAACATGGTGTGTTTCAGCCATCAAACATCAGAGATGAATTATAATGAGTGGTCTGGTTCCATTTTTTTAATGTTTGCTGATAGCTTCGGAACCTCATCCTCCTTCTCCATGCCCACATTTGGACAAGCTGATAAGAAAGCTGGTGCTTGAGATGCCTGGGTGGCTCAGTCAGTTAAGCGTCTGACTCCAGCACAGGTCATGATCTCACAGTTTGTGAATTCAAGCCCTGCATTGGGCTCTGTGCTGACAGCTCAGAGCCTGGAGCTTGCTTCAGATTCTGTGTCTCCCTCTCTGCCCCTCCCCTGCTCACGCTCTCTCTCTCTCAAAAATAAACATTTAAAAATTTTTTAGAAAGAAAGAAAAGAAAACTGGTGCTCTCTCCTTTGACACCAGGAGGAGGCTCAAACCACACAGGCCCTCACCTAGGCTTGGCAATCCTCCCACCCACCACACCTCCCACCACAATAATGACCCAAAGTTAACATTCCTTACTTGCTCTCTTAAGCCATTTCAGACCATTTTCAGAGGCCTTCCCTACTCTCCCAAGAGACCTCCATTATGTAATTAATAAATCTTTCCATAGTTTCAAACAATATATAGAAACTGTCTTTGGCCCCCACACCTTCCACTCTGCTCTTTGGTTTATGGACATAAACAAATTACTCTCTGTTGTGACTTCACTGAAAGTTTCCTTCAGCTTCCTGTTCAAACTGAAACCTGATTTCCCCCTGATCACATGGTCCCCCCGAAGCCTTTTCCCTCCCCCATGTGCCCACTGGAACCAGAGATTCGTTGCTCTCCTTGCTCTTTATTTCCACTCCCAGACTTTATTACTACCTTCAACCAAAAAACTCAATTCCTTTAATGGGAAGTCTGGGTGGTTCAGTTGGTTAAGGGTCCGACTTCAGACAGGTCATGATCTCACGGTTCACAGATTTGAGCCATGCATCGGGCTCTGTGCTGAAAGCTCAGAGCCTAGAGCCTGCTTTGAATTCTGTGTCTCCCTCTCTCTTTGTCCCTCCCCTGCTCATGCTCTCTCTTTCTCTCTCCCAAAAATAAATAAACATTAAAAAAAAAGAAAAGAAAAAGAAAAGAAAAGAATAACAAGCAGCCCTAAGAGCTGGTAGCTAGCTTGGTACCAACTGTGCCAGGAGATTCATGTGCTTGGTAGAGTCCTAGGAGATCCCCTTCACAAAACCCCACAGTTCATGCCCCACAAATGGGTCCTGCAACTTCTGGGGTCAAATTGGTGAGGGATTAGAAAGAGTTTCTCCCAACATCCACAGGCACCTCTCCACACAAGGTGAAGCAGGGAAACTGTGGAGCATGGTATGTGCAGAGCAGGGCCAGAATCTGTGCCAGTCCTAAAGCCTTCATGGATCTGGTGGGAACTCCTGAATCTGA